TCAGTGCGCCGGCGGACTAAGAAAGCAGCCTATTGCATTGGGGGGGGTGGGGGGGGGGGTTTTATTTGTAGGAATGTAGTTGACACTATTGTTGGGGAGGTTGTTCATGACTGTCGTTGCTCCTCCTCAAATGATTCATGCGGAACAGCGGGCATACGAAAATCGGAAGGTGATATTCTTCCACGAAATAACCCATGGGAAGCGAAAGGGGCTATTTCGGTTTAACTATTTTGGGTAGTGTAATTGATCGCAATCAAGGTTTACTAGGGTTGGCTTTCGAATCTTGAAGGATTTGTTCTGCTTTTAGGTATAAAAAGATCGACGGTTTACTCAGGAACAACAGTTTTTTCTGGAGCAAGTAGGAGGCCATGTTTTCATAGCTGATTAATCAAACCTTGGCAATTACTCTACTGGCCCCAGATGATGAAATCAACTTTGTTTTGTTTCCGTTTTCTGTTTTGTGTGCTGTGTTAATAGTCATGAAGAAAGTGTAGTCTCTGTGTGCACAAAACTTTTATTTGGGGTTTAAGATTGCCTGCACTGATGATTTTAAACATGAATATTATTATTATTGTTATTTACTACACGAAAAATAGTCATGTGAACACAAAACAAAAAAAACAAAAGTATCATCACAACCCTGCAGTTTCTGTGCGAGATTGTAAAGCATCACAACACAAGAAACAAGCCCTTAACTGAGTTAAGGGAATTTGAAAAAAGTAAAATGCCAGCAATCAGGGAAAAGGGCTCACAGGCACAAATCAAGCGGCTGTCTAAATATTTCATGTAGCCAAAATGAGATGAAGTAAACATAGACACTTTTTGCATAACTTAACAAACAAGGGAGCCGCTCCATATGTGAAGCAATGATGTCTGCAATTCAATCTAGTTTTGACCATATCCAATTTGAAACTACCTCTTTTTGTAATAGAGTGTCTCAGGGTCAATCCATGATTCTAGAGCTTGAGGAATAATCTCGAATCATTTCGCTTCCCTATCGACTGCAGTGAGTCTCCGCAAACGTTTTTTTTTTTCGTAATTTCGCTATATAGGATCTAGTCACACATAAAACCCAAAACTATTATCAATAATTTCTGGTTAAATTATTGCGTTCTGATTCTAACTTCTTAATTACTCTGACCTTGTGAGGATTTAACTTTAGAGTGCCATATCCTAGCACAGATCTAACATAAGTGTTGTAAGCGCACAATAACACTGGAGCACTAGTCGTCAACAAGGCTCTGAACAAGTACATGGCAACCGTTGCCTTTTTCGCGATTGTTTTACAATGAGCGTCGAAATTGAGATCACTACTTATGATATAAATCAGAGCGAATGTCTGTTGGACAATCCTCAACGATGCATTATTAATATGGTAAGTGTGACAACTATTAGACCTGCTGCAGGACCTTAAATTTGCCTTCAAAAGAAACTAAATGGGACATATTGAAGTATTTTAGCCTTATTCTCGTTTTTGACAGAATGGTGAAGTTCGAGATCGATCGCGAACGCTCAAACTCTAGCGGTACGCTGCTAAAGCAAATTCAGGGTCCTGCATGCGAATGTTGAACAAGATGGAGGAACAACCTCACCCTGTGAAACACCTCTGTTCGCTAACTTAGGTGGAGAAAAGGGGAACTCATACGGACGAAAAATTGTCGCCCGATGAGAAAAGTATGGGTCCTCGCAACGAGACGCGGATGGCTTCCAACCATGCTGGTTCTAAAGAGAAACTTCGAGAAAGACCCTATCGAAAGCATTACAAAAGTCAATTTGAATTTTTTGCCTTCACTTCGTCCAAGCACTTTGTCCTATGATTGAGAAGCTGAATACTGGAAGTGACAGTTGGACTTACTTTATGCTGCTTAGATGATATGTCATATTTTCCGGTGGTTCGGAGTTCTTTTTTCTGCTTTTAATTTTTGATTTTCTTCATATTATTTTCTCTTATTTTTGATTTTTCAAGTTCTTTAAGAAATCTCGTGAAAAATGAACGTTACGTTTACAGGCCTGAAATTCTGCTGCACGTGTGTGTAGGCTTTTTTGAAGATAGGCATTACGAAGGATTGCAACCATCGGTGTGGAGGTTCCGCATTCATAAAGCTCAGGGGAGTACCTACAAGATGGGAAACCTTTTTGATGAATGAAATTGGTATAAACTAGATGTGAGGGAGTTAGATTGTGGCCATTCGAGGAGTAGTTTGGAAATTCGATCACAATGGAACCACACCGGCTCATCTATAGTCGGAAGAGAGCAAAAGTATTCTTGAAAAGTAGATGCCATCAGCTCGGTTTCGTCTCAATTTCCAAGGACAGTAATACCGTCCACAGATAGAAGATAAAAAACTTTCATGTTTTTGCCTTAAAACGTTACATTACACTTTATAACACGTTAAAGCTGTTGGTATCTGGTCCTTAGACGCTGATAAAAACCCGAAACCATTTTCAAAGGGCTGGGAGCGAGGCGTTTTTAACGACATTGCGCAATCAGAATTCACATCGATAGGACTGGAAAGTCCCATTATGTATTTTTTCCTTCAACTAGTGTTAGTGCTTCTCCGAGTGGAACATTGGTCTTGGTTTTTAAAGATACTTCTTCGATCTGTTCAGGCGACTGCGTAAGTTCTTGACAACGTTTCTGGCGTTAGTTCTTATTTTTAGGCATGAAGAATGCACTGTTATTGTTGAGTGGCTTCTCCGTGATTGTCGTTGCTCCTCCTCCTCAAAGAGTTCCTGTGGAGCAGCAGGCGCCGCCCGAAAATCAAAATCAAAAGGTGATAGTTTTTATACGAAACCAGTCTACTATTTATAACGCGCTAATGTCTTTGTGTATGTTTATGTGTGCATGTGTGTGTGTTGTCCGTTCGACCGGAAATTCATAACTCTTGTCCTCATGGACCTGGAGAGTTCAAAATTGATAAGAGTACAGAGACAGGATAGAATCACTTATGGTGGGTGGCAGAACCGGACTCCGCTCGCAGAGGGCGGGGTTTGCGCGAAATAGATGTTTGAGTGGGAGTTTGTAACTCCTCTTTCCGTAGAACTACGTCCCCTCAGCCTCCGCGAGCTAGATATACACCCTTTCCTACTAAATGCCATCGGCGTCTTAACTCAGCCGTTTGCACTCGGTCCAAATTTGAACGCCTCAAGTCCATATTATCACGCCTTGTGGGCAGAGTCAGTCATGCCACCTTCCATCAGCATTCCCGTAATGTTGCCCTTATTCCTAGCAATTGTGAATGCCCCAGGTCGAAACGTCGGTTTTCACGCACGCCACACCTTTATTGGGTGGAGTCAATTCCTACAACGTACCATTAGTGTTCCCATCCTGCCACCTGCACTCCTACCAAGTTTTAACGCTCTAGATCCAGGGGTTGGATTTACGTTGAGATATTTGTTTCGCGCAAACACGCCCCCATGGGCGGAGTCAAGACCTGCTACCACATGCCAGCATTCTGGGTAACGGAACTTTTATCCGATTGCGGCATTCTCCCTTGCAACATGCGGCAAATGTCACTGCAACTACCGTACTCACCCCGCCTCCCCGCTAGTCGATAAGACGCAATATTTTTCGTTGACTGACTTCCTTTTTTTATAAAATTTGATGGTTTTTTCTGTTCCTTTCTCGTTTTTATGTTTATTAGCTTGATTAATTAAAATGACTCCCCCTATATTAGCGACGATCAAGATCGCATTGGAATTGAAGAGTGCGGCCAGCCAATTCAGATAATTAAAGGACTTTCACCTCAAAAATTGCGTCAAAATCTTCCATCGCAATCCTGCGATATGCGGCGGGTGCCGCGCTCGCGACGCCGTTTTCGGGAAGAAGATTCATTCCCAGCATTCCTACACTGCCGCGTAGACTCCTGCAATATTTGAAGGCCCTGGTTCACGGGAACAAGAGTTATGAATTTCTGGGCAGGTAACAAAACATCAAGTCAAAACAAGAGTAAATAAGAATAGCTTGCGGTTCAACGGACTAGGTACGGGTTTGAGTCCCGCCCGAGACCGAAGCTTTGTCCATATTTCGCCAAACTAGTGAGTAGCCAGTATGTTGAATAGTTATCGGCCGAATGGCGTTTGTATGCAAATCAGTCCGTTTTCAGATGTACGAGTTTTCCTATTCCAAATACCTTGAGGAGGTGGTGAAGATCCTTGAAAGCGAACCAAAGTTCTCAGAAAGACTTCGTGGAATGGCTGAGGAAGATATTAAGGTTTTCGGTCACTTTCTTTCCTGTCTTCTGGTCACGCAATGAGGAACCTCAGGCTGGCAAGATCGCTGATCACATAGACGACCTCGATAGCCATGTGTTTGACAAGCTGACGAAAGCAAAGCTTGATGAAATTGAGCGCTTAAGAGCGCAGATTCAAAAGCAGATTGAGGTATGGGCTCTCCATAGGTTTTATTATATTTTATAGTGAATATGCTTTTTGAAAGGCTGATGGTGGCGCTCACAACGTGAAGGTCCCTGAGCATTTGGATGCGAGCAACTGGGAAAGATTTAATAAAGAAGATTTGCGGAAACTTATTCGTCGGGTAAGTTCGATTGCCTCTTCTGTTTTACCTGCGGTTTGATTATTTGCCCACAGACTGTGGAGGACATGGAAATTATCGATCGTAACCGACAGAAGGATTTCAAGGAGTATGAAATGCGAAAGAAAGCGGAGGAGGATCTCAAACTGGCACAAATGACTGAAGAGGTTGGACAATGAGGAAAGGTTATGTTCCCTCTGACTTCCCTTCCTTCTGTTGAAGCTGAGTTCACGATAATTTTGGAGTATCTGACTCTAGACCAATCATGGAAGTAATCCTCGAAAATAGTGTAGAGGAGGCTAAGTGAACATGAAAACCGTGAAACATAAGTCTTCAAAAAACAGTAAAGTTAGGGGTTGGACGAGAATGTTACCCAAAAGTTGCATGGATGTGTGCTGTTGCGTACAGCTGGCTACAGTATGCTGTCTGCGTGCAGCGTGTGGGGCCGAGCGCGAATGGTGCAACCTATACAGCTTGTACAACGCCGTCAAAACTCGCTCCCTTCGGGTGTGTACGTCGGCAAAGCCAATTTTGTGGTCCCTATTCGCCCTTTCCAGACTGTCTTCCAAGTCGACAGCGTCACTTATGCTATCCTTGGAGATCACAGGTTCGCCCTTGGAAAAAATCTCAGCAACCATATTATCGTGAACAATGCTTTTAAATTATAGGAAATTTGATGTCGGTCATACCATATAGACAACCCTCTTGCCCTACTTACATTGAAAGCGTTTCTCTTTCGCCGAATGGGTCATGGCGACCGTGTAGAAGAACTATAATGATTTGCAGAAGTCTGCAGTCAGAAGATGCAGAACCTTATATGTTTAGGAACGGAAGAAAGCAATACATGATGCTGAAGAGGCAAAAAAACGTCATAATGAACACGAGAAGTTGAAGCATCCCGGAAGCCGAGACCAACTGCAAGAAGTGTGGGAGGATACTGATAAGGTTAGTTGAAAGCTATTCCCTACATCTAACCACTGTAAGCACAAACAATCTTGCTGATGTTCACTTGGCTATTCGTTGATCGCCCATTTGTTCTTGATGCCGTTAGTGACCTCTCCATTCGTCCGTAGCGAGAAAATAATGTTGGATCGTGAATGAATATTATAATTTCTCGCACAAAAGTGAAGCATTGCAATTGTCATCCAATCAATGAAGTTTGCTTCTAGTGAAGTTGGCCCACCAATCTAATAAGTGCGTTCATCGCTTGTCATCGGTAGTTTCGTTACCTACGGATTTGCGAGCAGACGCCAGCGATGTCTTCATTTGTCCCTGTCGCGTGGCACTACAGACCAGTCCACTGTCTTCACACGGAGGACAATGCATAGAATTCCATTTTTTCAGTGATTTCGTAAGCATCTCTGACCATATGGCGGCCATACTGATGTTCGTTTGACATTCTTAGGTATAGGGATAAGATGGAGATATGACAGAAACTTCAGGTCCGTGCCAGATGGCAGGATATTAGGCTAGGTTAGTTAGTGGCGGATAGGCAGAAGAAGCGATTTTTCAAAGAGATTTTAGGGTTGGCGTTCAAGAACCCGACGTTCTGTTGAACGACGTCGCTGGAGCTTCTATTTTTGATAAAAATGCGCATCCTAAAGCGAAAAGTCCTTTATACATAACAATGGAAACATCTGAACAATGTGGCAGACACTGCAGTCATTAAATTGTCTTTCTTTATGATATGAGGATGATGTTTTTGTATAGGTAGTCTTAAATACGAGTTCTTTGTTCATTTGTTGTCCCCTAAAACGTCAGCCGGTCTAGATTTTAAGTAGCTGTAGCTTCACAAAAAAGGCAAATGTTGCCGACAAATATTTTGCCGCCTGACTTCACTATATGAACGCCTGCATTTTTNTTTTTCTTGAGTATCATTGGACATAGTCTGACTATGTTTACACAATTTCGCTTCAATTTGTATTGACCTATATATCTCTAAGATCTTTTCTCTCTAGATGGATAAAGACAACTTCGACCCTCGAACGTTTTTCGCTCTTCACGATCTTAATGGTGATGGGTACTGGAACGCTGATGAACTGGAGGCTCTTTTCGAAAAAGAAATCGAGAAAGTATATAACGCAACTGATCCTGATGATGATCCAAGGGAACGGTGCTTATCACGCCTTGTGGCAATTTATTGGTAGCATTTCAATTAACCATTTAGCTTAGAAGAAATGCATCGAATGCGTGAACACGTAACCAAGCAAATGGATAAGAATGGCGATCGCCTCATCTCCATGGAGGAGTTTCTTCAGGTAAAAAAGTACACTGGATAGCTACGTTCTACCTTTTCTTATTGTAGGATACGGAAGCACAAACGCCCAACAAAGACCCTGGTTGGAAGGATCTGGGAGATCAACAGGTTGTTATATCACATGCATTTCCTCTGGATTTTACTTCAGTCTGTGCTTAATTTTAGGTGTACACCGATGAAGAACTTCAAGAATTTGAGAGGGAGTATGCTAAGCAACAGGGTCATTGAAGGTGTGACTGCATCAGATTGCATCTTGAGCCTATACCTGTATAAATTGCCGGACGATGTTCACGCGGAAGCTGTCTATTGAATTGTTCGGGAAGTACTTGGGATTTTCAACGTTTTTCATGATGATATAAATAAATAAATGAATAAATATTTATGAATCAGTTATATAAACCTCGTTTTGTTGACTATCTTTTGCCATCTTTATGGTATTTTCATTGCTCTTGTCTCATAGAATCTCTAAATACTTAAGCAATAAACTGGACTACACAAGGTCTAATATCTCATCTTTAGTGAAGGTTTTATCATTCAAGAACTTTTGCAACGACCGACGTAAATGTTATTCGGATGACCCGAGATCAGAGCTATGGTGAATCCGCACTGAATTTCATCCAAGCTTCAATAATTTTACCGGGTCACCAGAAATGTATGCGACATTTTCTCTTGCTGCAATATACTTCTTCGCGACTCGCTATTCCTAGAAGGCTCTTTTGTTTGCTTCATGAGATTTCAAAAAGTAAACTTACAAGTCAACATTCCGTTGGGACCGCTTCAGCCTTTATTAATGTTAACCTTCAATGGTTTCAATGGACGCATTGGTCTTCCAGCAAGGTTTGGAATGTATTACAAGTAGACTCGTTCTGATTAATGCCACCGAATGTTCATAATAAATGTCTTCTGGTCAGACCACTCTGAGGTGAAAAACTGCCTGAACGAAAATTTGTGAAACAGTTTTCACATCTGCTCTATGATAAGACGTTGCCATCTTCTAATTCGTAAATATCACGGAAAACATTAGAAGATCTCCTAACACGATATAGTCATGAAAGTAAAACGTGCCGGAAATGCTTCATCTAATACTCCATCTTCAAACTGGCCCTGAAATTACGAACTTGTCACCCGGTAGTAATCCAGTCGATTGTCCTCGCTCGGAAGACACAGGGCAGAGCATTCCTTTCCTGAAGAAATCTGGCCATCGCGCTGGCGGCCGTCCTGGTGTTCCTTCGTCTCCCCAGGGGATCCAGTCAGTAACCGCCCTGGTGCAATGGTTATCACTCTCGCATGACACGCCGCTCCCACCTTATTTTCGACTTCATGGCGTAATCAACGGCATCCCCGATCTTCGTTCGTTGTCGGAACTCGGAACTCCGGATCCCTCTCTGCACTTGCGTGTATAGGGAAATTCCAAGCATCGTTCTTTCCACAACGCGTTGAATGACGCTGAATGCATGCTCATCCTGCTTTCTTAAAGTCCAAGTCTGGGGTATGTCAAAGAGGAAGGACCCCAGTGTCGAAAAGGACAGCACGGTGCCAGATGTTCTTGGTCTTCTTCACTACTCCTTCAATGTTTTTAGAGGGGCTCCACGCCGTGCGCTCCCTTCTGCTCAGCTCCTGTCTGGTCATTTATCATATTGACTTCTCGGCCGAGATACACGATACACGGTCTTAATTAAATTCAGTTTCTCTCAGCGATCTTCCACAAGCACTGTCGATTTGGAAAGCATTTGCTCCGCCTGGTCGATGTTCGGTGTTATAAGCGCGATGTCGTCTGCAAAGCGGAGATGTTGTAGGCAGCGGCTGTCGAACTTCACTCTCCTGCTTTCCCATTCCATATAACGCATGTTGTTCTCGAGAGAGGCTCTGAAAAGTTTGGGCGGAAGGGTAACGCTCTGCCGGACACCTCTGTTCACGTTGATGACTTCTTTATAGAATGGCGAGATCCTGGTCATGAAGTTGTTGTAGTGCTCACAAAGCATCCTTATGTATTGAGTAGGAACACCCTCGTTGCCCAGGGCTTCAATTACCGCTTCTGTCTCAACGGTATCGAAGGCATTTTCAAATCGATGAGCGTAAGAAATAACCGCATTTTGTACTCTCGCGATACTTCAATGAGTCTTGTAAGAGTTGGGATATGATCGTTTGGGCTAAACCCTCTCCGAAACCCTGCTTGCTCGCATGGTTGTCCTTCACCTAATTTTCTGCCAATCCTGTTGAGGATGACGCGTGTGAAAAGCTTGTAGACACTTACAACTTACAGACAGCAGGCAGATTGGGCGATAATTGCCAATATCGTCTAGATCTCCCTTTTTATACAGCAACACAGTCGTGCTAGTTTTCTGGGTGGGCACTTTGCATTCCGGCAGGTACCGCGTGAAGGGCCTAGCCAGGGTTTTGACGATAACTGGTGGAAGACTCTTTAGATGTTCTGTTTGATCCTGTCGGGACCGGGTGCAGTACCACTCCTCATCGTCTTCATGGCATGTAGAATTTTGGAAGGGAGAACCGAAGGAGCGATAAGACGCCTTGCCTGAGATGGTGTGTAGGCAAGTAGACGTGGCTGTCGGAGAGACTCGAGTAGAACTTCTCCATTGCCCTTCGAGGTGCAGTAACTGTTCCGTCAGGACGACGAAGGGAAATCAACTTGGTCTTGTAATTGGCGGAGCTCTGTCGCTCCGTTGCGAATACTTTTTCCGGCCTCGGCGGCTTCGTCCATAACTGCTGCTCTTCTCTCTTTCAGATCTTCTTTTATCGTGATGTGGTCTATTTCATTATGGAAATGTCCACCAGGTGACTTCCATGTCCATCGCAAATGAAAGGGCTTCCGAAACTGCGGGTAACCATGAATGGTGTGGGTCGACATGATAATCTCGGGCAGCCTTTCACCCTGCTCATTCCATCCCATTCCGTGGAACCCGATGTGGAGCTCTTCAGTAGTTCCTCTGGGGCCAGTCCTGGCGTTAAAATCACCGACGATGACCTTGAAGGAAGTGTGGTCTTCTCTGTAGAGCCTCTCCAGATCCATGTAGAACGCTCCCAACTCTTCTTCTTCGTCGCTCGATGCTAGTGCGTAGGCAACGATGATGGTTAGAGCTGGGGTTGAGCCACATCTTCTTAATCGCAAGCGTTCGAGTCGGGTTGTTAAGTTTTCGTACAAATCGATGTTCATGGCCAAGTGCGTATTGACGAGGACACCTACGCCGCCAACGCTTCTGCTGTCGCATGTTCTTGAGGCAGATCTTCTCCATTCTCAAACGCAGAGTGCAGCGGGTGATGTCTTCTCGTCTCGGTCAGTCCGATGACGTCGTACTTGATCTTCCTAGCTTGCATCATCAGGTCCTCCATACACGCTTCCGATGCAAGCGTCAGTGCGTTGAAATACAGATGGCCATCTTGGTCCTTCTCCTTTCAGGCAGCCTGTTTTGGCCCTAAGATTTTAGCAGCCTCTTCCGAGCGGTCATATCCAACGCTGCCGTATAGGGGGCTCTCTCAGGTTTAGGGAAATGAGGTTCATTCGTATCACTATTTTTGGTAAGTGGATATCCAACGTGTAGCTTGCCAGAGTCTTACCTCGAGGCTGGGTTGACTCCGAGGGTTAGCCACGCCATCCCGAAGCTTTGACGAATAGCCCAAAATCGCCTCCCAGATATTTCCCAGTCACCTGAGTGCAAGCCTAACTGCAACCACAGACTCTCCACACACATATGCATGGATACACCTGTGAAAAACAGGAGGTATATCGACCAGCACAGCAGAGTCAAGGAGCCCATACCCTAAATCCACCTGCGTCTCTGGGCAAGTACTGGCAACTTCTGGTCATCGATTGGTTCCCTTGTCCGCCACCTGGGGACGCCTTACGTAGCCTCATCACTAATCGGATGGGATCCTTTAGTGGGAGAACCATCACTGAAAGAGATCCGTAGGTGAAATATTATGCAGTCCATTATGTTCTTCCAGCTGCTAAGAGCATGGTTGTCATATTTTTTCTCTGGCAAAGCATGAATTGTCGTGGGACTCCCACCTTATCGGCCGGTTCTTCAAAAGGATCGGTATACTCGTATATCGGAGTGCCGGTGATAAACAAACCACCGGCTTTTACATTGAAAACGCTTCTCTGCACTACTAAATTGTCCATTAGTATCACTCCAGCTGTAATAAGTGAATCAACCCGTTTCTGAACAGTTTCGACGACTCTTCGATGTTCAAATGACACTTTTTTGCCAACAAATCTAGCAACCAGTACAACTCATATTCAACAGCAGTAGTACTCGAAACCCTTTGCCTCAAAGCATGAGTACGTCAACACGTCAAGCAAGAATCAACGACTGTTTGGGGTAGAAGGGTGTAATTTATCTACTACTGAGTTCTTCCACAGTTACTAATATTGTGAACATTGTACGACCGTTTTAGGAGCAACTGCTATCAGCATAAACAGTACCGAGTGTTTCAATAATATCATCGTAATCATCTACCACTACTTCAGCACGAATCCTCTGCACCGCATGTGAATAGTATTAGGTTGATGCATAATTATTGCGGATTTTTTTCGCGGCTTTTTTTCTCTCGATAGGAGTTGCATATTGAGTTCGGATTTTTTCTAGAAATGACCTACTT